GTCAAAAGGTCAAGAAGTCGAAAAATTGAAAAATCGAAAAGCCGAAAAATTGAGCAATCGAGGAATGGGAAGATCAAAATATCGAAAAATGGAAAAGTCGAAAAATCAATTGATCGAAAAATCGCAAATTTAGAAACAACAAGAACTGGAATATCAACAAATCGAAAAATTGAAGATTCTATAATTAAAAAATCCTAAAACTGGAATATAGAAAAATTTTAAAACTGAAGAATGAAAAATCTCGAAACTGGGACACCAAAAAACTGAGATAGGGGAAAAAATTCCATAAATGAGAAATTAAAATATCGAAAAATCAAAACATCTACGAGTCGAAAAGTCAAGAAGTTTAAAAAATCTAAAAATCGGTTGATAGAAAATTAGAAAATTTAGAAACACCAAACACTGGAGTATTAAACAACCGGAAGATTGAAAAATCGAGGAATTGAAGAATTGAAAACTTGAAAAATCGTAAAACTGAAATATCGGAAAATAGAGAAATCGAAAAATAAAATAATCTAGAAATGAAAAATTGGAAAAATCGAGAAATCTAATAATCGAATTCTGAATAATTCGAAAAATGATAAAACTGAAAAATTGAAAAATTTAAAAACCAAAAAATTTAAACATCGAAAAATCGAGGAATCAAAATACGAGAAATAGAAACATTTTGAATTGAACAAACCGAAAAATCAGAAAACGAGAAATCGAGAAGTCGAAGAAATTAACACAACAAAAAATTGAAGAATCATCATAAATGAAAAATCCCAAAATTCGATCTCTAAAAATTAATCAATCGATAAATCGAAAAATTGAGCAAATGGAAAAATCAAAATATTGAAAAATCGAAAAATCTAATAGTCAAAAGATCAAGAAGTCGAAAATTGAAAAATCGAAAAGCCGAAAAATTGAGCAATGGAGGAATGGGAAGATCAAAATATCGAAAAATGGAAAAGTGGAAAAATCACAAAATCGAAAAATCAGTTGATCGAAACATCGCAAACTTAGAAACAACAAAATCTGGAATATCAAAAAATCGAAAAACTGAAGATTCGATAATTAAAAAATCCTAAAACTGGAATATAGAAAAATTTTAAAACTGAAGAATGGAAAATTGAAAAATCTCGAAACTGGGACACCGAAAAACTGAGATAGGGGAAAAATTCGAGAAATGAAAAATTAAAAATATCGAAAAATCAAAACATCTACGAGTCGAAAAGTCAAGAAGTCTAAAAAATCGAAAAATCGAATTATAGAAAATTAGAAAATTTAGAAACGCCAAACACTGGAATATTAAACAATCGGAAAATTTAAATAAATCGAGAAATTGAAGAATTGAAAACTTGAAAAATCGTAAAACTGAAATATCGGAAAATAGAGATATCGAAAAATAAAATAATCGAGAAATGAAAAATTGGAAAAATCGAGAAGTCTAATAATCGAAATATCGACGTCTGGATAATTCGAAGAATGATAAAACTGAAAAATTGAAAAATTTAAAATCCAAAAAATTGAAACATCGAAAAATCGAGAAATCAAAATACGAGAAATAGAAAAATTTTGAATTGAACAAACTGAAAAATCAGAAAACGAGGAATCGAGAAGTCGAAGAAATTAACACAACAAAAAATTGAAGAATCATAATAATTGAAAAATCCCATAATTCGATCTCCGAAAATTGATCAATCGATAAATCGAAAAATTGAGCAAATGGAAGAATCAAAATATTTAAAAATCGAAAAATCTAATTGTCGAAAGGTCAAGAAGTCGAAAAATTGAAAAATCGAAAAGCCGAAAAATTGAGCAATCGAGGAATGGGAAGATGAATATATCGAAAAATGGAAAAGTCGAAAAATCGCAAAATCGAAAAATCAATTGATCGAAAAATCGCAAATTTAGAAACAACAAAAACTGGAATATCAAAAAATCGAAAAATTGAAGATTCGATAATTAAAAAATCCTAAAACTGGAATATAGAAAAATTTTAAAACTGGAGAACGGAAAATTGAAAAGTCTCGAAACTGGGACACCGAAAAACTGAGACAGGGGAAAAAATTCGAGAAATGAGAAATTAAAATATCGAAAAATCAAAACATCTACGAGTCGAAAAGTCAAGAAGTCTAAAAAATCGAAAAATCGATTGATAGAAAATTAGGAAATATAGAAACACCAAACACTGGAGTATTAAACAATCGGAAGATTGAAAAATCGAAGAATTGAAGAATTGAAAACTTGAAAAATCGTAAAACTGAAATATCGGAAAATAGAGAAATCGAAGAATAAAATAATCGAGAAATGAAAAATTGGAAAAATCGAGAAATCTAATAATTGAAACATCGAAGTCTAAATAATTCGAAAAATGACAAAACTGAAAAATTGAAAAATTTAAAAACCAAAAAATTGAAACATCAAAAAATCGAAAAATTAAAATACGAGAAATAGAAAAATTTTGAATTGAACAAACCGAAAAATCAGAAGACGAGAAATCGAGAAGTCGAAGAAATTAACACAACAAAAAATTGAAGAATCCTAATAGTTGAAAAATTCCAAAATTCGATCTCTAAAAATTGATCAATCTATAAATCGAAAAATTGAGCAAATGGAAAAATCAAAATATTCAAAAATTGAAAAATCTAATTGTCGAAAGGTCAAGAAGTCGAAAAATTGATAAATTGAAAAGCCGAAAAATTGACCAATCGAGGAATGGCATGATCAAAATATCGAAAAATGGAAAAGTCGAAAAATCACAAAATCGAAAAATCAATTGATCGAAAAATCGCAAATTTAGAAACAACAGGAACTGGAATATCAAAAAATCGAAAAATTGAAGATTCTGTAATTAAAAAATCCTAAAACTGGAATATAGAAAAATTTTAAAACTGAAGAATGGAAAATTGAAAAATCTCGAAACTGGGACACCGAAAAACTGAGATAGGTGACAAATTCGAGAAATGAGAAATTAATAATATCGAAAAATCAAAACATCTACGAGTCGAAAAGTCAAAAAGTCTAAAAAATCGAAAAATCGTTTGATAGAAAATTAGAAAATTTAGAAACACCAAACACTGGATTATTAAACAACCGGAAGATTGAAAAATCGAGGAATTGAAGAATTGAAAACTTGAAAAATCGTAAAACTGAAATATCGGAAAATAGAGATATCGAAAAATAAAATACTCGAGAAATGAAAAATTGGAAAAATCGAGAAATCTAATAATCGAAACATCGAAGTCTGGATAATTCGAAAAATCAAAAAATGATAAAACTGAAAAATTGAAAAATCAAAATACGAGAAACAGAAAAATTTTGAATTGAACAAACCGAAAAATCAGAAAACGAGAAATCGAGAAGTCGATGAAATTAACACAACAAAAAATTGAAGAATCACAATAATTGAAAAATCCCAAAATTCGATCTCTCAAAATTGTTCAATCGATAAAACGAAAAATTGAGCAAATGGAAGAATAAAAAAATATTTAAAAATCGGAAAATCTAATTGTCGAAAGGTCAAGAAGTCGAAAAATTGAAAAATCGAAAAGCCGAAAAATTGAGTAATCGAGGAATGGGAAGATCAAAATATCGAAAAATGGAAAAGTCGAAAAATCACAAAATCGAAAAATCAGTTGATCGAAAAATCTCAAATTTAGAAACAACAAAAACTGGAATATCAAAAAATCGAAAAATTGAAGATTCGATAATTAAAAAATCCTAAAACTGGAATATAGAAAAATTTTAAAACTGAAGAATGGAAAATTGAAAAATCTCGAAACTGGGACACCGAAAAACTCAGATAGGGGAAAAATTCGAGAAATGAGAAATTAAAAATATCGAAAAATCAAAACATCTACGAGTCGAAAAGTCAAGAAATCTAAAAAATCGAAAAATCGATTGATAGAATATTAGCAAATTTAGAAACGCCAAACATTGGAATATTAAACAATCGGAAAATTTAAAAATCGAGAAATTGAAGAATTGAAAACTTGAAAAATCGTAAAACTGAAATATCGAAAAATAAAATAATCGAGAAATGAAAAACTGGAAAAATCGAGAAATCTAATAATCGAAAGATCGAAGCCTGGATAATTCGAAAAATCAAAAATTGATAAAACTGAAAAATTGAAAAATAAAAATACGAGAAACAGAAAAATTTTGAATTGAACAAACCGAAAAAATAAATTGAAGGATCCTAATAATTAAAAAATTCCAAAATTCGATCTCCGAAAATTGATCAATCGATAAATCGAAAAATTGAGCAAATGGAAGAATCAAAATATTTAAAAATCGAAAAATCTAATTGTCGAAAGATCAAGAAGTCGAAAAATTGAAAAATTGAAAAGCCGAAAAATTGAGCAATCGAGGAATGGGAAGATCAAAATATCGAAAAATCGAAAAGTCGAAAATTCGAGAAATCACAAAATCGAAAAATCAATTGATCGAAAAATCGCAAATTTAGAAACAACAAAAACTGAATATATTTTAATTTTTGATTCTTAGTTGTATAAAAAATAAATCGTAATAAGCGATTACAAGGTGTTAGGGATATTTGCAACCTTCGGTTTCCCCTTTTCGTTTCAAGCAGCGTCCCCCAGTTTTAAATTTATAGACTATCGCCCGACAAAAACCTCACTAAGACACCAGTAGGTCGACCTAATACACAAGCAACAATAAAAGCAGACCCCGCCCTCCGACGTTAATAAAATTCCTGCAAAATATCACCTCCCCCTTCATTAAATCCCTAAAAAAATCCCCAAGTCGCTACCCTCCGAGACATTCTCAGCACAACCCCACTTAAAAAACTGCAGCCAGCAGTAAACAGCTCATCTGCCAGTCTTAATGAGCACTATTTATTCCGTCCCAGCTCTTGTTCCTCGTGTTCCTGCTAATGGCACACCCTCACATTTGCCTCCGCAAGATGCAACAGCAGCAGGATCGCCAGGATTCAACTCAGTAGCCGCTGCAGGATCGCGCAATCCTCCCGCTTTCTCATTCCGCGTTCACCTTCTCCTGCAGCAGCAGGGTCAACTTCGCTTTTCTTCCAGTCACAACTGAAACGGTGCGGTGTACACACGTCGGTCTCGTCGAAATTTCACTTTCTACACGCACTCGCGGAACATTTTTTCGGGTTTGTTGTTGCCGTGCGATGGGCATGAAGTAGTGTTATGTGCTTTGTTTTTTGTTTATTTTGTGTTTTGTGTTGACCGTTGCAGCAGGATGGGGAGTTTGTTGGTGGCGATTGCATCGATTTGCCTCGTTAAGTCTGCACAAGGTGAGATATTGCAGGAATCGCTGTTGTATCTGTTGGGAAATGAACGGGACGATTGTGACACCGAGAGGCGGAATTTTCTGAAAATTTTCGGCGGTGCGGTGGCTCGAAAACAACCCGAGACTGGGGGTGTTTGCTTTAAATTAATTACGCACACGACACCGACACGAGCTGAATGCTACGGTTGCAGGAAGTGCACTCAACTTCGCGTTGAATATCCGGGTGAAATGGCAAGGTAAATGTGCTTCCGCTTTACGGAAAAAATTGATTCTTCGACGAACTGAAAATTTTACGTAAACACATACCTAAATCATAATTACCTTCTGTAATTTTTACACTCTGAAGTATTGTAAACGAGTATATTGGACGACTGGCTACTTTTTTGTTTTCTCTACGTTTCATGACCCCCCTAGAGCCCTAGAGTACGAAAACATCTCCACCAACAATAGGATGACGTCATCTTGAAAATTTATACTAGTAAACATGTGGTTTATGAATCCGTGTTCAGTTTTTTTGGAAAAAAATCAAAATTGTATAACAACTTTTACTTCTTTATTCCAGTCCACAAGCAATTTAGTATTTTTGTATAATTTTTATACTACCAACGTTTCGCCCCTATCAATTGGGGCTTCCTCATGGTTTTGAAAAATTAATACAACTAGAAATTAAAATTAAACGAACAACTAATAAATAGCATTCGTAAAGGTGGCATCGTCACAATATCTGAGAGGAAGCCCTAACTAATAGGTGCGAAACGTCCGTGGAATAAAAATTACACAAAAAAAATAGCTCGAATTCACAACCCGAATAAAGCAACAAAATTGGACATTTTATCGTGCAACTATTTTAACGTAATTGTTTCATGTATCAGTTCATTAAAAACAATGTTAGGTGAAATATTTTAATGAGATTGCTACCCCTGAAGAAGAGAAAATATAGCTCTCGAAACGTTGGCTTAATAATCAGAATAGTGTTTTTCGCAAAATCAAATCTTTTTCAAAAAATTTTTTATGTTTTTATAATTTCACATTTATTCCATTTTTACAATTTTAAATGGTTTTACCATTCTTCCAATATTTGGATTAAATATTTCTTTTTTCCGATGTTGCATTTTATCGATTTTTAGTTCTCAACTTTTTTTTAATCTCTGGATTTTTCAATTTTTCGTCAAATTCTTGATTTCCAATTTTTTTGTTTTTGATCTTAAATTTTACAATTTTGCCATGTTTCAATTTTTTTTATTCGAAAATGTGAAAAGTCCAAAAAGTAACAATCGAAAAAACGAAAAAACGGGAAATTGCAAAAAAAAAACACAAAAAATGTGAAATCTGAAAAATTTGAATGTTGAAAAATCGAAAAATTCAAAACAGAAAAATTGCAGTTCGAAAAAATTAAAAATCCAAAAACTGAAAAATTTTACATTGGAAAAAGAAAACTAATAAAATCAGAACATTTTAAGTCCGAAACTCCAAAAATAAAAAAAAACGAAACGGAAAAACCTAAATCAAAAATTGAAGAAATGAGAAATTGAAAAACCGTGAACCTGGAAAATCTAAAATTGGAAAATTTCATATTGAAAAAAGAAAATTAATAAAATCAGAAAGATATAGAACCAAAATTTTGAAAAAATAAAGAAAAAACCTCAACGAAAATCCTAAATCAATAAATTGAAGAAATGAAAAGCTGAAAAATCGGGAAACTGAAAAATCTGTGTTTAAAAAATGAAAAATAGAAAAAAATATAAAACTTGAAGAATTGAAAACGGAAAGATTGCAAATCGAAAAACTGAAAAATTCAAAAAGTAAAATATCTCAAATTGAAAAAAGGAAAAATTAAAAAATCTAACAGGTGACGAATCGAAATATTGAAAATTTAAAAATCCAAAAATTGAAAATTTTAGTTCTCGAAACGTTGGCTTAATAATCAGAATAGTGTTTTTCGCAAAATCAAATCTTTTTCAAAAAATTGAAAATTGTTTCATTTTTCGATTATTCAGTTTCTCAATTTTAAGTTTTTCGGTTTTTCATTTTCTTTATTTTTTCAATGTTTCTTTAGCTTTCATTTATTCCATTTTTACAATTTTCAATGGGTTTTACCATTCTTCCAATATTTGGATTAAATATTTCTTTTTTCCGATGTTGCATTTTATCGATTTTTAGTTCTCAACTTTGTTTTAATCTTTGGATTTTTCAATATTTCGTCAAGTTCCTGATTTCCAATTTTTTGGTTTTTCAAGGTGTTCATTTTCAGTTTTTAGTTTTTTTGTTTTTGATTCTTCAATTTTACAATTTTGCCATGTTTCAAATTTTTTTATTCGAAAATGTGAAAAGTCCGAAAAGTAAAAATCGAAAAACTGAAAAAACGGGAAATTGCAAAACACAAAAAATGTGAAAATTGAAAAATTTGAATGTTGAAAAATGGAAAAATTGAAAACAGAAAAATTGCAATTCGAAAAAATTAAAAATCCAAAAACTGAAAAATTTTACATTGGAAAAAGAAAACTAATAAAATCAGAACATTTTAAGTCCGAAAATCCAAAAATAAAAAAAAACGAAACGGAAAAACCTAAATCAAAAATTGAAGAAATGAGAAATTGAAAAACCGTGAAAGTGAAAAATCTAAAATTGAAAAATTAGATATTGAAAAAAGAAAATTAATAAAATCAGAAAGATATAGAACCAAAATTTTGAAAAAATAAAGAAAAAACTTCAACGAAAATCCTAAATCAATAAATTGAAGGAATGAAAAGCTGAAAAATCGGGAAACTGAAAAATCTGTATTTAAAAAATGAAAAATAGAAACAAATATAAAACTTGAAGAATTGAAAACGGAAAGATTGCAAATCGAAAAACTGAAAAATTCAAAAAGGAAAAAATTTCAAATTGAAAAAAGGATAAATTAAAAAATCGAAATATTGACAATTTAAAAATCCAAAAATTGAAAAATTTAGTTCTCGAAACGTTGGCTTAATAATCAGAATAGTGTTTTTCGCAAAATCAAATCTTTTTCAAAAAATTGAAAAATTTTTCATTTTTCGATTATTCAGTTTCTCAATTTTAAATTTTTCGGTTTTTCATTTTCTTTATTTTTTCAATGTTTCTCTCGCTTTCATTTATTCCATTTTTACAATTTTCAATGGTTTTACCATTCTTCCAATATTTGGATTTAAATATTTCTGTTTTCCGATGTTGCATTTTATCGATTTTTAGTTCTCAACTTTTTTAAATCTTCGGATTTTTCAATTTTTCGTCAAGTTCTTGATTTCCAATTTTTTGGTTTTTCAAGGTTTTCATTTTAATTTTTTCGTTTTTTTGTTTTTGATTCTTCAATTTTACAATTCTGCCATTTTAAAAATTTTTTTATTCGAAAATGTGAAAAGTCGAAAAAGTAAAAATCGAAAAACTGAAAAAACGGGAAATTGCAAAACACAACAAATGTGAAAATTGAAAAATTTGAATGCTGAAAAATCGAAAAATTGAAAACAGAAAAATTGCAATTCGAAAAAATTAAAAATCCAAAAACTGAAAAATTTTACATTGGAAAAAGAAAACTAATAAAATCAGAACATTTTAAGTCCGAAAATCCAAAAATAAAAATAAAAACGAAACGGAAAAACCTAAATCAAAAATTGAAGAAATGAGAAATTGAAAAATCGTGAAACTGAAAAATCTAAAATTGAAAAATTTCATATTGAAAAAAGAAAATTAATAAAATCAGAAAGATATAGAACCAAAATTTTGAAAAAATAAAGAAAAAACCTCAACGAAAATCCTAAATCAATAAATTAAAGAAATGAAAAGCTGAAAAATTGGGAAACTGAAAAATCTGTATTTAAAAAATGAAAAATAGAAACAATATAAAACTTGAAGAATTGAAAACGGAAAGATTGCAAATCGAAAAACTGAAAAATTCAAAAAGGAAAAAATTTCAAATTGAAAAAAGGAAAAATTAAAAAATCGAAATATTGAAAATTTAAAAATCCAAAAACTGAAAAATTTAGTTCTCGAAACGTTGGCTTAATTATCAGAATAGTGTTTTTCGCAAAATCAAATCTTTTTTAAAAAATTGAAAAATGTTTCATTTTTCATTTATTCAGTTTCTCAATTTTAAATTTTTCGGTTTTTCATATCCTTTATTTTTTCTTTCGCTTTCATTTATTCCATTTTTACAATTTTCAATGGTTTTACCATTCTTCCAATATTTGGATTAAATATTTCTTTTTTCCGATGTTGCATTTTATCGATTTTTAGTTCTCAACTTTTTTTTAATCTTCGGATTTCTAAATTTTTCGTCAAGTTCTTGGTTTCCAATTTTTTTGGTTTTTCAAGGTTTTCATTTTAATTTTTTCGTTTTTTTGTTTTTGATTCTTCAATTTTACAATTGTGCCATGTTTCAAATTTTTTTATTCGAAAATACAAAAATTAAAAATCGAAGAATTGAAGAAACGAAAAATTGAAACCAAGAAACTTAAAAATCGATAAAACATTGAATCGGAAAATTAGAAAGAAGAAAATACCAATTGAATCGAAAAGTTGGAAAACCCAAAAATTGTAAAATTGAAAAATTATAGAATTGCCAAATTTGTAAAGTCAAAAAAATGTAACATTAGAAGATCGAAAAATTCAAAAATTAACTATCGAGGATTGCAAAAATCAAAAATCGAAAAATTGAAAAATAGAAAAATGGTAAAATCTGAAAATTGAAAAAGTGAATTTTTCGTTAAATTAAATAAAATAAATGATAATTTTATTATTACATATTCAAAATGAAAACACGAAAACTAATTCAAAATCAAGTATCGTAGAAACGAAAAATTAAAAGTAATACAAAATTTATAGATTGAAAAATTAGAAGACGTGAAAAACTGAAAAATTTATAGGTACTTGAAAACTCAAAAAATTGCAAATCGAAAAACTGAAGACACAAAAAAATAAAAATTGAAAAAATTAAAAAATCTCGTAAAATTGAACAAACAAAAAAGTTTTTGATTTTTATTTTTCATT